GAGTTCAGTCAGTGTGTTTCCTGTTTTACTTTGAAGGTCCATGTCTCATGTGAGTGTTTCTAGTTTTGCTTCCCTTGTCTCGTCCAGCCTGATTACTCCCAGCTGTGCTCTCCTTCTGTGTCTCATTCCCTCGTTATCCCCCTGTGTATTTAAGCCCTGTGTTTCTCTTTGTCAGTGTCGTAGTCTCCCTCATGGCTGTTTCCCTGTGTGTCGGTTCATCCATGCCCCAGTTTAGTGTTGTTATATTTTTGTGCCATTCTGCAATAAAGCAGCTTTTTGAGTTTTATTTCTGCGTGGTGAGTTTTGCGTTTGGGTCCTTCTCTTGCCTGCACACAGCTGAAACATGACAGCAAAGGTCATTGTTCCAGAGGTTTTGTGGTTTGTTCAGATGCAACATTGAAAACCGTTGAAAAGCAGTGCTTCCTTGTTATTCTTGGAGAGAATTTCCCCAGGCAACCCTTCCAAACAAGCCATACTTGTTAAGTCTTTTTCTAATTGGACTGTCATGGACTTTAACATTTAACGTGCTAACTGAGCTTTTAGAGTATGAGATGTACTTCTTGCGTTTCTTTGATCACTGTCTTACCTTTGGACAGAATTGCTGGGATGCCCACTCAAGAATATTCAATTTCAATTCAATTTTATTTGTATAGCGCCAAATCACAACAACAGTCGCCTCAAGGCGCTTATATTGTGGCCATTTGTTAATGCAGTGCTGAGGTGTCACCTGTCATAGAAGTGGTCACATTTACTAATCAGTTAATCAAGTTTATTTCTGCACTTGGCTCCTACTTACTCTCTTAATTCCTTTGTTTTTCCAAAGTTTACTGTCTTTCATTTTCACATGACTGCAAATTCACCATCGAGGCAAGGGCAATGGAAGGTCAGGTAGCAGTTTTGTGATGGTAGGAATTCCACAGAAATTCCACAGTCAGAAGTGGTGATGGCGGCTTCACACGGGACTCATAAAGTTCAAGCACTTTATCTGTGTCAAAATCATTATAACCTGGATCCAGAACGTCTCCACTAAAACCAGTCTGCCCACTCAGTCTTCTCAGCCATGTCTCCATTTTCACTTAAAACGATATCTGTGTGAAGGACTGAGACAAATGGGCTTATTTGTTTCTGTCTTCGTGATACTTTGACAAACGTATGTCAACTGACGGAGCACCCAGTGGAGCAATGCATCACTCCACAGCTGAGGAATGAGCTTTTACCATGTCAACATGCTTCTTGCATGCACAAATCTTACGCTTTCTGGTATAATAAATAAACTCTGATCACATAGCAGCTGCAGCCTTTGTTTATCCATGTTTGACCCACTAAAAAAGACTAATAGGATAAGAGTACCATTCACATACAACAGAATAAGAAGTAGTTTGCTATTTTGTAGATGGCTAACAAATCCACTGTTTGGCTTATCCTGATTTACCGCTCTTATACAACTTTAGAAGCTTATTCAGACAGCTGTGTGTTTTGGCTCCCTGACAACAGCTATGTGCGATACACTTTGGATTTCTATTAAGATAAGAATTAGCATTTCTTTTGCAGAAGATAAAAAAACATACATTTAACATTCATTCAGCAACATTCATTGTGTCTGTGTGTGTGTGTCTGTGTGTGTATGTGTATCTATAACAAAATAAATCATCTAATTATAAATATATGATTATTTATTAGTACCCTTTTTATTTATAACTAAATAAATAATTGCCAAGAAAAAAAATTAAGTCACTCGTTTTAAAAAGAGAACCTCTCTTATTTCTTTTTCCCGTCGTATAGGTCGGTCTCATGCGACACGGCCGGTTGCTGGCTGAAGGTCCCCCAGATGCCGTCATGAAGCAGCACTGTGCAACAGTGAGTACTCTCAAATCCCAGTATAGACTGTGTGGGTGCCCAGGGGTGCTGGTAGTCAAGGCATGGAGGTTGTTTAGTTTGCTTTTTGCTTTACATCTTATTTTAACCCTTAAGGACCCACAGTGACACTGGTGTCACTGCCTCTTTACACTTAGAGACTTGGTTATATATGATTCATTTGATATAAGACCCCCGTAATTTTCATGAAAGTAGAAATAGGTCTGGGCTCTTAAGGGTTAATATGAATAAAAGTTAACAGTGAACTTTTTTTCCTCTTGCAATTAAAACTATGGCTGTGGCACGCTTTCGTAGTAAACTCTCCAAATGCACAGGAGGCTAAAAAAGGCTTGTGAATTTTAGCCCATATTATCCGTCCTTCAGACCCTGGAGCATGCCTTCCTGCAGCTGTGTGAGACGTCAGACCAGGCCGGCTCTAAACGCGATTCCAGTTCTCCAGATGGAACGTTAGACAAAAGCCAGTCATTTGAGAATGGGAAGGATGAGAGTCAGCCAATTCTTGGAGTCGGATCTCCACCTGCAGAGGAAAGCCTCAAATGTTCAGGTACTGACATGTAGCGTGTTTTCTTTTTCTACCTGTGCATGTATTTAACAATGGGCCAGGAGTTTTATAGCGCTTTTTTAAAATCAGCTGCTTCTGACATCAAAAAGTAAAGGTATGAGGAGTGGATGATAATAATAATATAATTGCAGGTCAGGTAGATAAACAATGAGTTGAAACTCACTAAAGCTTTTTAAAGAGGAGGCACAGATTAAGGTAAACATTTTAACTGCTGCTGTTTTAAAAATATAAGTTGCAGTCACTTATATTGCATTTTTGTGTTCAGTGGACTGGAAGATGCGAGCCAGACATGTGCTGCCCAAGTGGAGGAACATCGCAGCCCTGATGATCAAAACATTGGTGCGGATGAAGAGAATGCCAGGGTATGATGCAGTTAACAGAGGTTATTTGTCACTGTCTATAAGTAACCAGTTCATTACACTTTATTTTCTACTCTGTGTTGGCAGCTCTTTGTGTTTCCAGTTCCTGCTGCCCGTCATCCAGGTCTCCCTCATCTGTCTGTGTGTCGGAGGAGATCCAAAGGGCATCCAGGTTGCTATAGTGAACAATGAGACCTCCCCCTCTGCTTTCAGCCAATCATTCCTCTCCTTCCTGGACAACGCGAGTGTGCAGCAGGTATTTGTTTTGGGCCTGAGAGATATGAATCCACATCAGCTGTGATGACCTTTGGATTCTGAATTTGTTGACTTTTCTTTTGTTACTGTAAATCTGCTGGTAGGTTGCACATGAGAAAGTGAGTAAGTACAATTTTCAAAGTAGCAGACTTTTTTTCTCAGCTGTTAAAATCTATTTTCACTCTAAGCAAATGAGTTTCACAAAGGAACAAACACCAGGACTTCCCATTTCTGGGAAATCATTGAAGAGGAAAGATTGTTTTTCTCTGTAACAGAACCATAACTGTTCAACAAACTGTAACATAAATAATGTGCAGAAACTTTAATTGATTTAGTCTGACCTTGTGCGGCAGATGGTGAAGTTCAGACTGGTTGAGGAAACATGGTGTAGCATATGGTGAAAATGAAACTTAGAACATAGAATGAATTGAACCTGCTTCTCTTTTTTTTATCTGCAGGTGAACTTGTCCCACAAAGAAGCTTTTGAGGGAATCTATAATGGAGAGTACTGGAGTGTAATCGGCTTTGGCAAGAACTTCACCAGCTACCTGACTAAACGGTAAGGGACAGAGCGTCATAGGCCGAGCTGATATGCTGGATCAGCATCTGTAACTGATGTTATGACTGCAAAACATGTCTGCACTCAATGTTCATTGCCCTCGTGTTACTTTAGAAAAAAAA